GGGGGGCGGGGACAATTGGAGTCCTCCGTCACTGAAGCAAGCAAGCCTCATGTTCACTTCAAGCTGCCTGGCTGCCGGCTGCCATCTTGGCTGGCAGTTGATTTGTATATTGCCCTGATTAGCCAATGGGAAGGGTAGCGGAGGTACGGCTAATTACCATGTTTCCCTTTTATTAGATAGGACTAGAGACTCGGTGCACGAAATTTGTGCACAGGTAGGGTCCCTAGTGGCTGCCAGCTGCTTCCCCTGTCGGGACCAGCTGGGGGGAGGGGCCGCAGGTGGTTGGCTGGCCAGCCTCACCCCCTGGTCGAACTCCTGGTCAAGGGAACAATTAGCATATTAGGCTTTTATTATATAGGATCCTTTACTGCTGAAACATGATGATTTAGGAGTGTTATTTTTTACTTCAGGCGCTTCCTGTGAGTTTGCCTCCCTATATGAAGCCATTCATGAAATGCTCGTTCCTCTCTGAGCACTTTAGTCACCAGACCGGCCCTCTGCACACAGAACTGGAAGAGATCGGCCACATGAGAGAGGCCCCATGTGTGAGAGCACAGGTGAGCATGAGAAGAGCATATCCACGAACTACTCTGATGCGAAGCTTATTAGAAGCCAAATGTTGCCTTACCAGCACACATTCAGAATCTACTTTGAACAAGTGTCATTTTTAGAGAAAGTCATTCACAAATAGAAAAGTTCCCTACAGCCTAGACAAATGGAGAAGGCAGCACAGGACACAATGAAACATCGCAATATCACATTTCAATTTCTTATTCAGAGGCATAGAAACGTTGAACTCTAGCAGCATTCATAAGGCAGAGGGCATCACACATACCTGTGTCCAGGGCCAGCCAAGTAACATGGATCCTTCACAAGACCAGAGCTATTGTTTTCCCCCAAAAGCACATCCTGAAACACAAGAAAGGCACAGCATTATTACCAACAAATTTACTTGAGGGGGTGGAGGCAGGAAGGAGCAAGAATAGTCACTGGAGGCCTGCTATCTGTTGTCAGGCACCATGGTGGCACTCTCCCATACCGCCGTTTCTCCTCGAAGCCCCGGGAAAGACTGTGGATCCCACCGCGCCGATGAGGAAGCGGCCCAAAGAGGTTAACTTCCCCAAGGTCGCAGTGGCAGAGCTAGGATTTCAACCTCAGTCTGCCTCACCAAGTGCTTCTCCTCACAAGGGCACTTTCTAAGCAAGAGAAGGCTGATGATTATCTCCAGGGTTCAAAACGACTGCTATCCTTGAAGTGACAAAAATGAATTCAAAGGGCCAACTTTCTGAAACAGCAATAGGAAATAACGGGAGATGACAGGATAGTGCATGACATTTAGCAAAAACCTCCGATGTTCTGACTTGTAATTCCAGAAGATATGAATCTGACGTGTAATCAAGCTGAAATATGTTCTCTCTGGGTTTGAAAATGTTTTACCCACATGTAATATCAATGTCTTTGGGCCTTTTCAGGTAGTCATTACTCGTTTCTTTTTGTTTTTAACAAGGGTATTATTGGTTTCCTGAAAGGATCCTAGGTCAGTTTTTGATAAAGTTTTGCCCAGGTGAGTAAGTCCCTGATGAAGACAATGTTGCCATTGATGATAAAACATTTAGCTCTCAATTATTTATGCTACTAGGTAGAAAACAAGAAATTAAATCCATACATTGTCTCTACATTTAATTTCAGCAATTATTTCATCACTTAATCTGTCCAAAGAGCTTAATGCTTTCCACAGAGCTCATTGCTTTCTACCCCAATTTTCTCCCCCCGTCCCCACCCCCAGGCAGTGGTGCAGGTACTAATGAGCAATAAAAGAGCCCAAGGTAGTAGGCACAAAGAAGAAACCAACACTCGAAGATTATTGGTAACTGCAGATAACCCTTATTGGGCATTTACTTTGTGCCAGACACTGCTAAATTCCTTACAGGCCTCAAATTAGGAGCCTAGAGTTGAGTTAGGTACATGACATTTCTTCTGTAATTTAATCTAGAACAACGGGGAGAGGAGAGGTAATTGCAGCTCAGAGAGGTGAAGTAGTTTACCCACCCACACAGTTAAGTGGGTAGAGGAGCCAGGATTCAAACCACGATCGCTTCGAAACACAGGGCCTTTCTTGGTAATTTTAGCAAGCTGAGTGGCAGCTGAGGTGGGTGCAACCAGACATCAGAGCTTCGAGAGAAAGGAATTTCACATGTCCCTGATTTGCTCAATGACCACTTTAGGGAATGGGAACTCCTGCTCTCCAGGAAACCTTGTGGCCCTTTTAAAGTCCTTCCCTGCTGCACCTTCTCTGTTGACATGAATGTGAAGCTTTGCCAATAATTAATTGGGGAAGCCTCTAGGTCCTCTTTAAGCTCCTAACCCAGTATAACTTTTAAATATAGTTTCCCATTCTGTCATTTCCTTTGAATTACAGTATGAGCTTAAGTTGATATTTATGTTAGTGTGGGTAAAATAAAGGAAGTTAGACTCAGGAATAGGCTGTCGAGAGAACTCTCTAAATCTCTTGTCAACAAAACTTGGTTGGAGCATCGTCATGCACACCAAAAAGGATCCGGGCTGATCCCTGGCTGGGTGCATAGAGGAGGGTGCAACCCGTCTGTCTGTCTGTCTCTCTCTCTTCCTCTCTCTAGAGAGCAATAAAAACATATCCTCGGCCGAACTGGCGTGGCTCAGTGGTTGAGCGTTGACCTATGAACCAGGAGGTCATGGTTCGATTCCTGGTCAAGGCACATGCCCAGGTTGCAGGCTGGATCCCCAGTGGAGGGCATGCAGGAGGTAGGCTATCAGTGATTCTCATCACTGATGTTTCTATATCTCTCTCTTCTTTTCCCTTCCCCTCTGAAATATATGTATTAAAACAACAACAACAAATGTCCGTGGGTGGGGAATAAAAAAACAAAACCATTTGGACAGAAGGAAAATGCCTTCCCAATCCAGTAAAAGCCAGAGGAGGATAAATTTCTGTTGTATTTACTTGTTTTGATTAGGCATATGTTCACTGTTAAAGAAGACTTGATTTGCTACAAACCGGTAAGAAGTGTACAGTACATATAGGGCAATTTAGAGAAAAGCAGGGACTCTGGAAGAAATACTTATGTTTGTTTTTTAATTATTCCTGATTTCTGATGACTGACTTACTGGTTTTTTATTCTTCATTAGGCATAGCATACTTAAAACTATAGACCTAAAGCCTGTTGAATGCAAATCCTCACTCTTGCTTTGGGTTGAGTTAGAAATCCTAATTTCTCTGTGGCCAATAAAATATGAAATCAACAATATTCATCTACTTTGGAATATCAGTGTCCAGTATCTGCTAAAATGAATTAGAAATCCACTTGAAAAATCTTAAAGTGGTATTAAAAAGGTAAATAACAGTAATGAATACACTTTAAAATGAAATAGATTTATTAGCTGAAGTTTTACATATAAGATGTTTAACTCTCACCTCCCTCGCTGCTCCCCAACCTTTTTTTATTTAAGGAGGCAGCATGCTATAATGACTTGAAGAGAGTATGGGGTCAAAACCTTGCTCCCACTACCTTGGGCAAATTTCTTACCCTTTCTGTACCTCAGTGCCCTTATCTGTAATACAGGGATAGCAACTCTATCTACCTCTTTGCATAGATGTCAGAATTCATTTCATACTTACAAGAACACTTAGTACAATGACTGGCACATAGTGCACATTTGGTTATTAGTGGCTATTTGTAATTTTACATTTGTGGAAAGTTGATTCTGTTCTTTATCCACAAGCTGGAATGGTGCTTGTCGAGAGGTGCTAACCATGATTTACAAGCTGCACTCTCCAGGATCCATGCAGCGAGCCATTCCCTCAGCAATGAAATGTCTGGCACGCCATCACATGGTGAACGTGTTACATATCAGAAACAAGGTCTCTGAAAATACAGTGAGAACCAGAGCAGCCTCTAACTCAGCATCTGGAAAAAAAAATTCCTCACTACGAATCTTACTTCTTCGCAGGTTTATTTTTATAGCCTCTTCTGTATTTTAGATCTATGCCGTGAAGAGGTCTAAATTTCTGTTTCAGAGGTGAAATGTTTGAATATTTTTCTGTAGGGCCCCGCTACTTAAGAAAGGTTGTTTTACAAAGTCTCTAAAAAGTAGGAAATAGGCAAGAATTTGCTGTGCCCGTCAGTTCCATCACTAATATCCACTTGTTCAGCAATTACACCTTTGGAATGACCAGGAATGAAAGGAGAGGTAATGGGAGGAGGCGTGTTCAGAGTGGACCACAGCTGGCTAAGGAGAGGCCAGGCCTGCTGAGTATCTGAGTAGGTCTCTGGTTCCAGGTGGTGGCAGCCTTCTGCAGTCATTATTTCAGGCCAAGGAATAATCAATTTCCTAAGCAGAGGAATTTATTTCCATGTTGACCTTATTTTGGAGGCAGAAACTGTCCTGATAAACTTTTGAAAAGGAGCTTGAATCCTTGTCCAAAGCTTGTAAAATCCTGCTCTATTAGCATCTGGCTGGCAGGACGGAACAAGTAACATTTGTTCAGGATGCCGAAGACTGAGCCAGCACCAGAAGAGACTCCATATTTTGGGTTTAACTCGGATGGTCTCTACAGCAAACATGTTGTTATTTAAACGAGGCATGTGGCCTGCCGGCTGCGAGTTTGACATGCTTGCTCTGGGTCACTTAATTTCATGGAGTTCTCTGAAGCTGAGATCAGAAAAATTCTTACTGCCTTCACCAATTCTTGATAAAATTCCTGGAATTTTTTAAAATAAAAGAATGTAACATTTTGAAATAACCACAATAATTATGTGGTGAGACTACTTCTGCTTTGTTTTTAACTAGCTCTACAAATAAGGTATGAAGAAAATGGATCAGATACTGCCATGACCAGGTCCCAGGGCAGGCAAGATCTGGCTGATGGAAGAAGGAACCTTAAGAACAGTCTTGGCACAATTACAATCTGGGGGATGGTAACCTATTTGCAGAATTTGTAGGAGCAAAACAGCACAGATAAAATATTTAATTTTGAAACACTTTCCTCCTCTGGTGTCATAGTCCCCAAATTAAATACTATCTAAATATGGTACTCTATTGAACAGGGTGCCTAAATAACGTTCTGTATTTAGTTGTCTTTCTAGAAAGCCTTTCAAATAATATAAAGTATGTAACTGGGTTTGGAGGAATCTATAGCACCTATGTTTTAGCTCTATTTTCCACTTTACCAGGTTTGAGAAATATTTGTGGAGGGAAGGCAAAATAACATTCGTATCTAACTGATTCTCCAAGAGAGGATGATGACATCTAGTGGTGGCTAAAAAAACCAAACCAAAACAAACCAGAAGAGGATCCAGTTTTTGCCTGAACATTCTGTTTTCTTTAAAACATGTGGAGCAAAATGAAGAAAATGTTCTGTAGCTATGCACTGAATGACTGAAGCCCATCAAACTAGCTGCAACTGCATGTTACATATAAGGATTTAAAAGTGCTTTAGTGCCCTGGCTGGATAGCTCAGTTGGTTAGAGCCATGGTCGGCAAACTGCAGCTCACGAGCCACATGCGGCTCTTTGGCCCCTTGAGTGTGGCTCTTCCTAAGCCTTAGGAGTACCCTAATTAAGTTAATAACAATGTACCTACCTATATAGTTTAAGTTTAAAAAATGTGGCTCTCAAAAGAAATTTCATTCGTTGTACTGTTGATATTTGGCTCTGTTGACTAATGAGTTTGCCGACCACTGGGTTAGAGCATTGTCCCAATAAGCCAAGGTGGCAGGTTTGATCCCCAGTCAGGGCACCTAACAAGAAACAACTAATGAATGCATAAATAAGTGGAACAACAAACCAGTTTCATATCAATAAAAATAAATAAATTTTAAAAAGTATTTTAGTGGTAGGATGAGGAGTGGAAATTAGCTTAGTTCATTCTGAAGGGGAGGAAAATGGCTAGTGAAGTCTTATAGAGCAGCGGTTCTCAACCTGTGGGTCGCGACCCCTTTGGGGGTGGAACGACCCTTTCACAGGGGTCGCCTAAGACTATCGGAAAAACACATATATAATTACATATTGTTTTTGTGATTAATCACTATGCTTTAATTATGTTCAATTTGTAACAATGAAATTGGGGGTCACTAAAACATGTGGAACTGTATTAAAGGGTTGCGGCATTGGGAAGGTTGAGAAGCACTGTTATAGAGGATCACCTCTATAGATTTGTGTGTGCTTGAGTTTATACTGGAGAGAAAGTATTTCTGAATATTCCTGAACAGGAAATACCTGGGAGGGCACAGTATTTCTGCTCAGAAGGCTGTGTGTATGTGCGTTTCAGAAGCAGTGCTGTAAACATACTTCTCAGGCAGTAATGTCTGAATCTTTCTTTGTTTGAAGTTGTTTCCTCCAAATACTGCCTCCCACACACAACCCCCAATCCTTGACTTTTCTGCCAGGAAAAACAGAATTTGAGAGGGGGAATGGAGGGATGGTCTCCTCTGTGCTAACATATATGTGAATTCCTATCTCCTTAGGTGGAAAGGGAGCCATAAGAGAGGCCATTGATAGGCAGTGGAATGTGGAGCTTGAGGAGGGGCTAAGAATTAGGGAAATTCATAGACGCCTGGGAGTCAGAGTGCTCAGGTCTATTTATAGCTCTGCCTGAAATTTCCCCTGGAAAGCACTTCACAATCTTTGCATAGTTTAGAGCCTTTATTAGAAAACCCTTTCATCTGAGAATTGAAATGTCTGGGATTCATTCTCCTTTCTCACCAGGATAGTGCACAGAGAGAGCTCAGATGTGAGTCAGAGAAGCAGGGGTTTGATATGGAGAATATACTCTACTGCATAGGACTATTATGAGGATTAATGAGATAAATGTAAAGCATACTCATCTGAGGGCCTGGGATTCAATAACCTTTTAAAGTCAATAATTCTATTTTGCAAATGCAGAAGTCCAACAGAAACATAGAGGGTACAAAACTAAAATATTTAAAACGTCTAATAGAGGCTGTCTAATAGAGACAGCCTCTATCCCTTGAATTAAAAAAAAGACAAAAAAGATAATCCCTAACTTTTCCTAACCACACACTCTTGCACTGAGAGGTGAGTGACCTCCTAAAATGAAGTAATTACATATAATATGTATTCTATATATATACACATACATACACATATACATATACACACGCAAACATATAAAGATATCTATGTAAGATTTATGTATCTATTTAAGAAATCTATACGACATGAACATCCACATTTATCTTTGTCTCTGTAAGGCTATCAGTGGGGCACTGAGAAAGAAACGATCTCTTGAAAAGGCTCCTCTTCTGCATGTAAAAGGAGCATTGAAGGGGGAAGGGCGGGGTAGAGGAGAGCAGCTTCCAGGGCCCAAAGGACGTGCCCAGGGTCTTGCTGGCGGCACCTACCTGGGGCTTCTGGTGGGTGATGGGAGATGACCGTGACCTCACGTGGACAGGGACCGCCAGGAAATCCGAGCGCTCCAGCAGGTCCTCAGCGGACATGGACTTCCCGGCCCTCCCGGCCGCGGCCCGCCACGAGGAGGGCTCCCCAGGGGGCCTGTCCATCTTCTGGTTGCCATTTGGCCCGCCGCCGCTGTTAGCTCCACCCAGCAGCTCCCTCTGGGCTGGGTCCCCGCGTCGCCTTTCTCCCAGGAGGCGGCCGCCGGCAAAGGAGCTGCTGCGATCTCGGGCCCCACGCGGGGGCTCCAGCAGGAGGGCGGCCTCCCTGCGGGGCTGCAGGCTGGGCT